TACGTTTATACTTATTATTAGTTATTTACTTTCTACACTATATATATATATATATATATATATATATATATATATATATATAGTTTATTTTGATGTTTATTTTCCTATCCTTTAGCATTATTACTTATCTCAATACACATCAATGGGTGTTTTCAAGGTATTTTCAGCCGAGATATTTTAGTCTTCATCAGAACGTTGAGATATTTGACTACTATACGCTAAGCCTGATAAACCTAGGCAGTTTGTCATATTTAAAAAAATCATTAAACCTTTCTAATATGCATTTTAAAACACAAGTAACACATAATTAACTAAAACTATAAAACTACAACCTGCACAATATTTTCATATTCCATCCAACTAACATACTTATAGGTGAGAAACAATGATAATGCACTAGCGAGGACAAAAGTAGCAACAATGCTAAGAGTGTTTGACATGTTCTCTATTGAATTTTTTGCAAAAATTTTTAACTAACTGTTAGGACATCATGTTTCAAAATGTAGTTTTTCTATTACTTACAAACATCTTGCTCAACTACATATAATTGGCTGAGAAATCGAAACTCTAAGTGGGTGTGGCGTTTGTCAACAGTTCCAATAAACTTATTTCGCTTTTCTCACAATATTCCCTAAGGAGATTGAAATAAGAAAATGTGTGAACTGAGCAATTAACCTAGATTATTTCTATATATGGAAGGTTTAGTACAGTGAAATGGTTTTCAAGTTACAAATTCCATAAGTTAAAAATATGTGAAGTTGTGCATCAAACTGAAGTTTAAAAATTCTTTTTAAGGTTTCTTTCCAAATAAAGGAATTAAGACTTATATAATATAAAACTTTGAATTATAATGTAAATTATAATGCTAATTTATTTGGTATACATTGATAGTAAGATGCTTAATTAAATTTTGAATGTAACAAAGTAAAATCTTGACATGCTCAGTACAAGGATGCCCATAATCATTGGGTAAATGTGTGTCTCACCTGTTCTTTATTTAAAAAAGCATCCATTTCTCCCCCTTCCTTACTTTCACATTTTCTGTTGAATTCCTTCATCCTTTTCTGCCCTCGAAGTTTTTTATTTTCTTTCACTGCAAATAATATAATAACTAAAAACAATTCTAGATTCAAAAGTATTTATGTAGTCTCTCATTCAGTATGAATTTGGACAGCATTTTTTTTCACAATGGAATACCCAGGCAGCATGTTTATGAAGTTTCAATGAGAATCTATTAACTTAAATGTTGGACAAACCATCTCTATCCTGCAGCTTTTTAAAACTATTTATCATATGCAATATGCCTTAAAAGATAGAGCTAGATTCAAAATATTAAGGTTCAAGAGAGCTAAAGAGATTGTCATATTCACATTAAGTTGTTATATATGTTATATTAAAACTTTACAACAATAATTTACACTATTTTGCTGATTTAAGTTTAATTTTCACATTTTAAGCACTGCTTTATTTTGAACTACTAAATAAAAAATAAATTTGGTCAGCTTTACTAGTTATAATCTACTTTGAAAATAATATATTTTCTTAACTATTGTTATTTTTGAAATTATAATTTTCCTACACTGAAAATGTATTTCTGATATGTACTTACCACTACTCAAACAAAGCTATTTTCGTTCATTGCTGCCCTTTATATGCAATTTTTTTTCCACGTGCCAAAAGCTTTTTATTTCCCCTCCATTGGAATTGACTGATTCCAATGCATTTATCATGCAAACCATTCTGCATCAACCCTCCACCAACAAGAGTGCAACATACTCTCATGATGTATGTGGCTCCCTCTATTCAATTCTACCAAGCTATCACTTCGAATTTTGGCCAAAAATGGAAACACTAGTTTTCAGTAGGAAGGAAGGATGGGAGGTGGGAGTAGAGGTAAGTACCTATTATAAATAAATTTTCAATGTATGAAAATTATAACTTCTGATACGGTACATTACCTCCACTCACATAAATAGCCAGAATCCCAGATTGAATAGGTGGAGGAACTTGTGTGAGGGAAAGAAAGAAGCATCCTTCAAAAGTGTCCAAAAGACAGTCCCTAAGGTGAAATAGTCATATTCTAAGATTTGATGTGGGGAACTGCACCACTTCTAAACTAGGTAGACTCTTCATCCATTGTAAAAAGATGTCGCATATATGGGCAGAAAACAGACAAGCACATCCAACTGGGAGAGAACTATGGCTGTAAAGTAATCCAAACCATGCAATATTTATGAAACTCAATCCCAGAAATTATAAAAGTGGGTAAAATGAAAAGGATGTGCCCCTAGATGCAGAGTGGCTAGGGCATGATGGACCATACACAGCAAGTTAACTACATTCAAAACCCATGCTGCTGGGAACTTACATCCACACAGGTGTAGGAAAAAGGATCATACTGGTGGCAATTCAACTACAATCCAAAACCCAGCCATCTGGTAGGGGTAGGAAAGAGGATCATACTGCCTTCACCTCAAGTTCATGAGACCGGAGGGAATCTATTACCCCTGACTCATGAACGGGGCACAAGTGAATATGATAAATTGACAGATCGATCAGGGAACTCGATATCTGGTATCGAAAAGATGTCTACATAATGTAAGTAGTCTCCCTCAAAAGTGAAATTGACCAAAACCACACCAAGCACATTAACATCCTCAGAATAAGAAACATTGAGGGATAGCAGAAGGGATAGAACCATTACAATCCTCAATTTGCCTCTACTGTGAACCACAACACTGATGTATGTATAAATGAGGGAGGAACATAAATATCTGTAATACATGTGTGAGGACTTATGTTGATTGGTGGTTCTACTCTAAATCCAAAATCTGGCCACTGGGAACTGCCATCCACGTGGGGGTAGGATGAGGAATCCCAATTAAAGGGGTGAAGTGCAATTTTGACATCTCAACTCTATTTGTTTTTATGTTTCATAATGAAATATATCATGTCATCTACACCAGCAAAACACCACCACCCTGCTCTCAACTGAATGATTTTATAATCATTTCTATATTTAGTTTGTATTTCTTTAACCTATTCAGGAGGATGCCTCCACAGTCCATCACCCCAGGGGCTTTGAACTGGAAAGTGGTAAAAACTCTCAAGCTCCACTAGATGAAAAGGTAGGTAAAATGCAGTGGAGAGTCAATAGGAACAACGACACCTGAGACAGTGCAATTGGTGACTACAAAACCCTGTTTTTAAAAGCAGACCATACCAATTTATTCAATACAAGGCATGGCAGGGATGGGCAGCTATTCCCTTCTGCTGTACTCATGTAGTCCATGGATGTGTATGGTCTGGGATGGGCAAACTTATGAAGCAATTCTATTGCAAGCATAAACCCCATCTCTGCAGTGTGTGTTGTGTGGCCATGGAATTATAATATGGAACTTGACATGGCTTGACAATGCATATTTGAACAGTTGAAAAATATCTGGTCATGCATCACTTGACACAGAGCAGGATCCAAACAATGAACATTAATAAAAGGGAAAAGTGCTCTTGAAAAGGAAAAATAAGAAAAAAACCTACCCAGTCAAAGTCACACTAAAAGATGATAACCCAAAGAGGAAGAAACCATGATGTGATGCAAATAGTGAGAGACAAACGTATCATGAGTAGTTCAAATGCCCGACTGAAGAAGTACCTCCAAAGAATGATAGAGATGAAACACCATTGAAAAGGTACGAAGTCATATTGAGTGAGAAAACACTCGGAACAAAGGCAGACCATCTCACCAATGACAAAAGGAAAACCAGGCGTGAAGATGGAAGACAAGAAGGTCTGGATGAAACATGGGTGACTGAGGGTGGCAAAGAAGGGATGGAGACAGGAAGAGGAAGTTGGAGCTGGAGAAGCCACTGAAACCATAGTTGAGACAGCCAAGAAAGAGCTATCAGAAGGACTGAACCAGAGTGTGTCAAAGATGAACGAAATCCCCAGAGAAGAAGAAGAAGGAGAATGGGAGGATAGATGTGTGTGTAGACCCAATCCTGGCTGAATACATTGATAACCAGAGCAAGAAGATGAAGAACCAGAGACCAAAACCAAGGCAATTTGTGGTTAAGGGATGTAGTAAAAGCCTTAATGTGAAGAGTACCCCACCAAAGTTAAAGCCACTGGAAAACAAAATGATTGAGAGACCACTCCATTGGATAAATGTTGGCTGGACAGGAATCCAATCCACAAGAAGAGCAAAAGCACCCAGACAAATGTTATGCAATGATAGGAACATTGAGTGTGTGGACCCAAAAAGAAGATCCAATGTATGAATACAGAAGGATTGAGAATGGGTAATGACTCCAAGGAAAAACTGGGCAGATTGAAAATTAGAATAAGGTGGGACAAACTTAGTACAAACTGCCAATCTCTTGATTGAGAATGGGTAATGACTCCAAGGAAAAACTGGGCAGATTGAAAATTAGAATAAGGTGGGACAAACTTAGTACAAACTGCCAATCTCTGTTTTGGCACAAGAATAACAAATAGCCTGGAATCAAAGCCTATAGAAAGATGATGAACAGGGGCAAAAGCCTGTAAATACAAAATCTTGTACCACCTTCGACAGACATAGGCTGGTGGCAGGATCCCAAGTCATGGGGAAGGAAAAGGGTACCAGGGACAAAGGAGGTGGTGAAAGGAATTGGATGGCAAGTCCCTCTGATAAAACTCAAAGAAACCATGGAACTGTAGTGCAAGATTGCCAATGGGTAGCAATATAATATAGTCAAGCTTCCACTAGACCAGAACCCTCTGGTTAGCCCCTAGGTACTGATGGCAACATGCCCATCAACACTGAAAAAAACGATGAGATGAGAAAACCTCTGGAAAGGAGACAGGGATGGGTAGCTAAGTTCCATGACAGGAAAGGAATAGGGCACGTTGTGGCTCCAACTGTGACAAATATGCAAACCAAGAGGAAAGGGTCAAGTGTTGATGCACAGATCACACACGAAATTCTAAAATCACACATACATGATCGAAAATATATCACCAAAAAAATACAGAAATCCCAAAATGAATGAGGCAGCAATAGTACCCGGAACAAAGTCACACTGCAACCCAAAAAAAATCCCTAAAATGAGAGCCGAAGATGACAAATGAGCCAACATGGAGGTAATAAGGAACCATAGAAAAACGAGAAGTTGGATAAAACATAACATACCTGAGAAATCATGTAGAAAAATGTCATATTACGCCTACCTGATTTTGCAGGAGGAGTAGAGAGAAACATGGCAAAATAGATGGTGTAAAAAGGCTATAAAATCTTCCTCGGCCCGAACAGGTTCAGTTTGTTGATGAGGATTAATGGTTTACCCATATAATGATCAATCTCATGATGGATAACAGCAGAGAAATCCAATGATGGGTCTCCCACACCTGCAGTCTATGAAAATAGTGCCAAAGGCATACACTCGAAGTGGGAACATGAACCTCAGAATTCATTGTAGAAATATATAAGTCAAACAAAATTTGTGGTGTAAAATACATGAGTGTGAGAAAAAAAATAAAGACTGGGAAATTAAGTTAAATTAAGCAATTTCTTCATTGTAAAGAAAAATTAATAATGAAGAAAACCCACTTCAGCAATTAAACTATTAAAATCATGATTCACAGGAAGAGCACTGAAAGAAAAAACGTCTGAACACCAGTACTGTCAAATGAGAATAGTTTGGTAGAATTGACGAGAGGTAGCCACATGCATCATGAGAGTATGTTGCACTCTTATTGGTGGAGGGTTGACATATAATAATTTGCATGAAAGATGCATTGGAATCAGCTAATTCCAATGGAGAAGAGATAGAAGGCTTGTGGCATGCGTAAAGTTTTTTTTTTGCATATAGAGGGCTGCACTGAACGTGAATAGCAATTTATGTGAGAGGAGGTAATGTACTGTATTAGAATATGTTTTTTTTGTCAGCATGTAAAATTCTGTGAAAGAAAAATAATCTATATAAAGATTTTATTCAGTTGTTTTTTTTAATAAACAGAAAGCATTAATCGGAATTAGAACGTTAATAGAAAAAAGAAAAAAAGACTTTTTATTAGTAGAAGGTTTAAAGCATAACTCTTCACAAC